AACTCAGAGAGCACTCAGGGCACAGCAGGCGAGACAAGCCATGCACCCTAACATAGCTGCGACAGTACTGTCTGGATGCAGAGATATTAAAATCCTTTGAGGAAACCATGTTCTTCATTCGTCTAATATTTATTACCTTCAAGATAGACTGAAAGTAATAGTTTGCCTCTAGCAAATCAGAATATTCAAATAATTTGTCATTTCAAATGAAAAGAAACATTGAACAGTAAATAGAAACCTTCCCTGACTTCAGTAACTGGATGGAACCCTCCCCTTTCTCCATTGCTTTTTCTAGTTATCACCCACACTTTAAGCAGTCCCAAACCTAAACTAAAAATCTCAAACTGTTTCCTCTTAAGACTCATTCAGAGTATTTTCTCAGCAGCAGCAGTGACCATGTGTATCCTTTATATCACTTGGCCCTGAGCAGAAATGACAAGTGCCAGCAATTCTCAGCTTAGAAGGGGCTGTTCCCCTTGTAAAGATGATAAATGTTTCTACACTGACAACCCTTTATTCTTTCAGACCTGTTTAACGTTCTGTTAAAGCTTTTAGGTGCATTTCCAGAAACACTAATAGCATATGTTTGTCAGCTTTCTACCACTAGTTCCACTTTTTTGTCCACTTACAAAGCAGCAGACTATGGAGAAAACTAAGATAAGATAATGACTGTAATTGCTCTGGGTGAACTTCAGAGATGGGCATCATTCTTGTTTCATCAGGAAGTCAGAAGAATCTCTTTCCATAACAGAAGCCAACAGCCAGCAGGATTGCCTTTGTGATATACTACTCTAGCCAGTGTTCAGTATAAGTGAACTGAGACAAATGTTAAAAAAGTATATTTAAGCACTTCTCTCTTTCCCAGTGACACTATTCACTTACATTTCAATTGCTTTAGAAACAGCAATCATACACCATGAACATCACATGAAGACTACGTCCTTACAAAACCTTCTTTTATATTCCACTTCACAAATGAGAAAACTGCAGCTCTGAAATGTCTGGTGTTGGAGAACTAAATAATAATCGAGTTCCATCTGTCTACATGAGATAATTCAAGAGGCTACAAGTATATGACAGTTTGATGGCTAAGATCCCCAAGAGACTACCACTGTACTGGTAATGGTTTTTATCTGAATTCTGAGCTCTATTTTTTTTCCCAATTGCATACTTTCCTATAATTGCTTACTCTAACAGACTTCACAGAACACCTTCAGAAAAAAAGTGTTTCTGACAGTCACTTGCCAATTTTTTAGACAATGACATTAGAGGCAGAGATTTTCAAAGCAAACAATAATTTTAAAAAGTATTATAGGAAGTTAATAAACTTTTACATTCAGAAATTTTTGGATCACAAGAGGTGGACTTTTTGCCTAGACAATTTTAAGACACTGAATATTAGGAGTTAAGTACTTGTTAGCAATTGCAGTAAATGAGTCTTCTTTTTTTTTTTAAAGTATGCAGTATATTTTTGATAGTAACAAAACCTCAGAAATGTATGGAAAATTTACAAGCACTTCACAAAAAATATGTTGATTAAACAATCCATTTGATATTATTTGTTTGCCTCTGATGTTATGAATTAATGTTCTAAAGTGTATTAAGAATTACAGTATTCCAATATACTGAACAACTTTCACAGGTGGTCCCAAGCTGTCTCTTGATTTTTTTCTTTTTTTTAAATCAATCAAGTGAACAGAAGTAAATGGTGGAATACTTATTAAAAATTCAATCATCCATGTAACAGCAAAATTTGGGGATATTAATATCATCAGATATCTAAGATATATCTCTTCCACAACTGATTTTACACCAAATTTACCTTGATAATCTAACATGAAGAAATGAAAATACTTTAACACTTACAACAGGTACATGCTATACATTATGCAATGTTATAGGTTTTCAACACAACATATTTATTTGAATATATATCAGCAGTTGAAAACCATAAGAATAAAAATGAGTGTGTACGCCCCATCCTGCACTTCTATAAAATAGTTTCAAATTATTATTATGAGCAAAAAAAGTGTATTAAAACTGTAGATTCCCATACAGCCATTGGTTTCATCACCAAAAAGACGCAGTGCAACCATCTAGCCTGATCTTTCCCAGACTCTATTTCCTGCAACAAATAAAAACTTTTTATGGATGTGCAAGTAAATCTTTTAAAAATTATGTTAGCTAATGAAAAGGAGTCTTTGCATAACAGAGAATCTCCTGATTTCCTGCGTTAATTTCCTTCACTGGTAAAATGTTGCAACTCATTTTCTTTGTAAACCTCTCTAGTAGTGTTCAAGACTGTAGTTTTGTGTCATAAAAATAGGTTCTTTTCAAGCAGGTAATAGGAATTGTTTTTACCCTCATTTTCCCTTCTGAATAGAAAATTCTTGACTATGGAAGAGATGTAAAAGACTCGTAGCTCAGGAGAGGGTACTTCTGCTGTGTCCTTTAAGTTTTGGACTAATACTTTGATCTATCACTTCTATCATTTTCCACCATCTATCATTTAGCAACAGCATGAGCAGACCACCGAATGTAGGAAACAAGTCTAAGCAAAGGGATGAAAAACTTCACAGAACATACAACAAAACAGAGCAAAGGTGAAGAAGAAAAAAGCGTGAGAGAAATATATTTGCAGAATGGCATCTTGGTTCCTGGACTCTACTGTGTAAGTATGGCCTTTTCCACTGAGACAGCCTCTTTGATTTTCAAAGGTTCTTTATGAACATCAAAGTATATTTGCTTGCAGTAGAGTTATTTTTCACCAATTGTAGAACTAGTTGCATCATTTTTTTTCAAGGCTTAATCAAAGTTCAGTTGACTCTGTCAAATGTTAATTAGTTATTTAATTGCTAGTTAATGACTTTGATAAACTTTAGATCTGGTGCCTAAGACTATAAGTCCCTACTGATTAACATCTCATGCAGTGTTTACTCCTGTGCAGGTTTGGCTGTCTCAGCTTACAGTTTCTGAAATGCCAGAACTAAAACCCTGTATTATTAGCCAATTTTAATCTACATGAAACAGCTCAAGCAAAACACGGGGCAATACACTGCACATATAATAATAGGACATCTTATGGGAGGGTTTAATTTTTCCAGGAAAAAATCAATTCAGTTAATTTCTTAGATAATTTTCTGAGAATAGAGTAGGGCGTGTGGAAGCTAATGAGGTCACCCAATACTAGAAGATATCTCAATTTTATATGCTTATCGTTAATGGTTTAAGTGGAGACAACTTTTCCATTCATGTGCAGTATTGTAAACTATACTGGCTGAAAGGCTGAAATACAAGAACTTCATGCTTTCTTTTAAGCTTCATACAAATCAAAACACCAGCAGAATGAGTTAGGCACTATAACTGCATGTACTAACCCTTAGCAAGGAAGAAACTTGAATTACTATTCAGTGCCAAGTTTAGCAACCATTTTCATCCAGATGTATATTAGTATCTATCCCAACTGCATAATTTGGTATGGCAATTCAATCTACTCAAAACCAGTGATAAAGAGTCCAGAGATTCTAATTTTCTGAAACCATTCTAGTTATCAGCGAAAAAATGTCACACACATGCCTGCTGTAAAGGACCAGTGAGCATTTAAGTCATTACTAAAGTATGAAAGATAATATCAGAGCTAGAAGAAAATTTTAAAAATGGTTACTGGACTATTATTCCAAGACCTTAAACATAGATTCAATTTTAAGCTTGAAAACACAATTCTCTTAGATTTACCTGAAATCTGAGCTAGATCAAACTAAGCATACACAGATTCAGTTTTCTGGAGGTGTGCCGAAGGCTGTTCAGACCAGTCTGATAGACCCAGCAGTTAAAATAAATAGCTGCTGCTGTGAATTCACATTCAAAAACTGTCTCCACTAAGCTACACTACCTGGTATTTCTCATTTCTTAAGAAACACAGGGCTAATTCTCAGTCTGGTGAGGACATACCAGTCCTCTTTGTCTTTCTAATCATGCAGACCTAGACTTCACTGTCTAGCAGGTGCTAACATCACAAAAATGTTTGATAAGAAAGGCGTGGGGAGTGTCCAGCTCTAATGAAGGGATGGTGTGAAGCTCCTGTTGCTGGAGCAATGTCTAGTGTTGCTCTGCCCTCTGTTCATCCCCGTATGGAAGACTAATCTGTGCTCAAACAGTCATGAGTCAGACTGTTTTGGATATACCTACAGAGCAAGGGATGGGAAAACGTTTATATAAACAGCATAGTTAAAAAGAAACCGAGACCAAAACGAACATCCTACATCTCAAGATTTTAAATGCTTTTTTTTCCATTCAAATTCCAGCTGGGGAGGATGAGTTTGGATTTCAAGGTTAATAAAGACAATGTTTGGAGATTGTTGCTTTTCTCTCTGGTAGCATGCCATCTGTCCAGTCATCCATGCACAGGCCTCCTTCTCTTACTTGCAACAGTAAACAAATTAATTTCTATTTCCTAATTCTACTTGCTTGTGTCTCTTGAGTTCTGCTAATAACTAGCAGCAACGCAGATACGTCTACTGGGGACCCTAAGCACAGGGCAGTCAGCAAAGAACATTTTAGACTTCAAGTAGTTTTAGCCTTTTCTCCTTCGCAAGACTCCTAACCTATGAAAATCTACTAACAAGAGCAGTATGGGATGTGCCCTTTTCCTTAATAGATGGTCATTTTGCAGGACCAGGTGTTTTGCTAACAGTAAAATGTTAATAGTTCTTGCTAGGCAGTGACTTTCATGATGCTGTATTTAATTAATAAACATAATTTATATATACACAGTGAGACATAAAGATGACAGTATGTTCCCAGAAGATTTTTTAGTAATTAAATTTTATAGCTTCCCAAGCATCTTATTTTCTGTGCTCAGAGGAAAATACTGACAACTTTTTTTATTTTTTTTTTTATTTTTTTTATTCAAGACTCTGCTGATAAACAGGATACACTGCCACAAACTACAAAAGAGAAATGAAAATATCATATCAATGCTTTTGGAACACACTACTTACTGTGGTGGCACAGTGGATGTCTTTCCATACATTGGCTTCCCTGGAGAGATCTGAGACTTCAAAAAGGTTATCAAGAATAACTTCCCCAATCATGTCATGTCTAGAAAATCTGTCAAAATCATAAACACTGAAATGCAATTTCCTGTTGCTGAGTTGATCATAGGCTACAGGAAACTGAAAGGTTTCATCAAAGACAGGATTTAATGTCTTTCTGTGAACTCGTGTCTGAAACTTCTTTTTCCTATCTGGAAGCAGATAAATCTTAACGTAGGGGTCGGATGTTCCTGTGAAGTCTTTAGCAGGCAGATCTAAGGCTTTGACAATTGTGACAGCCAGAAGTTCATTTTCATAATCATACCGGAGAGTGAAGTTAAGTTTTCCACATGTTTTCACATCTTCTTGTTGCCCATCAGAATCCACAGACTTCTGTTTGTAGAGTTCTGGTTTTATTCTCCCAATGCTGGTTGTCGTCTCTCCCCTTTGCAAAATCGGATCTGTCCCCATGTTAAAATCAACACTGGACACTTGCATCTGCCTTGGCAAGTGCCTCCTGAAAGAATTGTGCCTGCACACACACACACACACACATACACACACACACACACAAAACAAGCCATGGTTATCTCTGAGAAAAGACCATTGCTAAACAGAAAATACAAGAAGACCAAATTAATAAGGGTTCCTATCTTAAGTATTATTTTAAAGTAATCCCCCCTCAATTATTTGCAAGTGTTTAAACATCTTTGAGAGAAATAATCATTCAGAATTAATTTCTTGACCTGAGAGACACACAGTATCTTGGAAATACATATATTTATGACCTTGCTTTCAGACTATGCAGCTGAAACTGAATTCATGTTCTTTCACAGAACAAGTTGACAGTTCCAGAATTGCTTTATCCCACTGTGCTAGGGCCTGAGTAAAGTACAGTAAGGCAGAAAAAAAAAAAGGCACTTGCAGAATTGTCTTTAGCACTCCCTGGTTTTTAGAGGCATTCCATGGTGGTTTTCCAATTAAATATTTACCAAGCTTCACAATGATGACCGTGAAAGGTGCCTGAAAGGGACAGTTATGTCTGGAGGTTTTCGCCACAGTGTTTTGCCATCCTACAACATTTTATATACACCTGCTTGGTATTTGCTACACTGAGGTACAGGCTGCCTTCTCCAATTTGACCGGGAACATTTTGTTCTGGCTGCAATACATTTCAAAGTTTTGGTCAGTATTTTTCTGTGACAGCTTTTTTTCCTTCTGTTCTCACTGTCTGCTGTGCAGTATATTGAAAGCTGATCCCTGTACTAACATACAATATGTTAAAATCCTTGTAATTCTGAATACAGTGTTGCATAAGCATATGTGTTTATGGGCTTAACTTGGCTCATGAACATAAATGGAAAGCTGTGCCATTCCTACTGTGACTGAAATCAAACCCCTGGCATACCATACAACCTTACAGTAATATAAAAACACTGGTCAAAAAGCTTCATAGCATTTATCAGCAGCAGATTCCATTATGACTACACTCTCCAGTTTATGTTCTGGACATTTTCACATTTTCTTGCTACTTCACTACCCCCGCAATCAGTACTGCAAAAGCTCACTACATCCTCCTGTTAGCACACTTAGTTGCCATTACAGAGCAATCCGATTGTCAGAATTTCCTCTGCTTTTTGCAATCAATTGCTTATTAATGCCAAATGTAGCCTTGCCTTATTGCTTGGTTTCCCTGTGGTGTTGTGTTCTGAAAACAAGAGGTGTCACAGCTGTGTGTTTCTTTCTTTAAATCAGAAATGCAAATTGTCCATTTGAAAGCAACCAGGACTCATTTCGTAGATATTATTTGTATTTTTGCTGTAAGTGAAGAGGTTGCAGAAGGCATGAGGCACAAAACTACCGCAGTTCTGCTGAGCAGAGATACAAGAGGGTAATCTGCAGCTATTAAATAATAGACAAGAACATTTCCCATTTCAGCTGTTTCAGTACTGCTAGGTGCAGGGAGCAGTCCTAGCACTACACAAGAATAGAGGAGGGAGAATTTCATAGTCTAGATTTGAAGTAGCTCCAAAAAATCCAGGTGTGATCTCAAATTTAGATGAACTATACAACCCTCATGTAACACGTTCTGCCTTTCTTTCTTCACAGACAGACAAGTTGAAAGATTTCCATTTCTCTTAAATGTTAGAACTCCCTGAATTCATAGTAGATGATGTCCACATTGGAATGGAGTGAGGAATGAAAACGCCCCAACAGGTCAGAAAAGTACAATATTGTCCCCAGGGAGTTTCATAGCATTTTTTCTCTGAGAAGTCCAACCTCATAGGTGTGACAAACACAGGGGAGTAACTGAACTCTGCCCAAAATGTAGTGCAATAAACGTTTGAGCAGGTAGCAATGCAGGTACCATCTCTCTAGTATCTTTGACTCCTAATGAGGTCCAGGAAGACCTGTGTTACTCCTGCTTCTATCATTCCTAAGGAAACTTTTGCAGATAGGCCTTCTTGAGTTCTCCTTGTACCTGCAGTTGTGGTACTGAGATGCCCAGAAAATCATAGAATCACAGAACGGTTTGAATGGGAAGGGACCCTAAAGATCCCAATCCCTCTGCCATGGAGGTATCATGTTTAAACCCCATTGTACATAAGCACTGGATAAAATTGCCTGTGTAGGGGAAATAGTGAAGCTCATTGTATGACATTTCCTGTTTGGGTGAAAACAGATAGATGACAAATTCTCTTTTCTTCAACTTCTCTTTCATTTATGAAGATCTGTCTTAAAACATGTAAAAGTAATACATAAAATACCAAATCTATTTTTAAACTGCAAGATCCACTAGTGAATGTAGTCATTGTTGGAAGATGTCACTAAGTAAAACAGTGCAGCTGTATGGCTGTCCCCTGTGGGAACCAGCAGCACTTTTGCTCTAGGAAGCCATAGTCCTAATTACATAGTGCCAAGTATCTGCTCTGAGTCACAGCATTTCACCAAGACAGCTAATTGGTCTGTTAATTATTAAGATGTTTCCTTGTTGCCATGGCAACATATTTATCTTCCTTTGTTCTGCAATAACAAAGGGATTAATGACTGTGATAATGAAGTACAAGGATGTCAGACAACCAGGTTGTGAAAATGTGGCAAAGCTACTAACATGTAAATCTAGGTACCTCAACCTCTACTGACTCCTATAAATAGACTTGCCTTCCATAGCATAGAACAGATGTATTTTGAGTGACAGTAAATCTCTGTATGTAAATCTCTAACATAAAACTGTGCTGCACAGGAATAGTAACAGTGTGAAGCTGATTTCTAACTCAGTAAGATGTCATATGTATGAAAGAAGAGAAGGATAGGATGCTGATTTATGACATAACTTCAGATTTATGAGGGCTGACTCTTGTTTAGCTTTTCTAGATGGCACTAGAGCAATCTTTTGGACCAAATCCAGGAAAAAGTATGTTCTTGTGCTATTTAGATGGAAAGGAGACTGCTGTCTCCTCCTTGCAAACACTGAAGTCAACACATATGCTCATTTTTCTTTAGCTTTAACATTTCCAGGCACCTCCCTTTTGTCCTTGTGCCTCTTGAGGACTGACTAACTCAACATGCTATGCTAATGCTAGAGAGCCAAAAGTATGTTCTTTGAAAATACAGGTGAACATTTGAAGAAGCAATAAACTATATTGCAGAATACTTCCACAAAGTAGTGGAAAGAGTGTTTCGCAATAACACAGGGCAGAAATATTTGCAAATGAACACCACTGCTGCAGTTCTTCTGTCATGGTGTACTGGTTAATTGGGATCAAGGACTAAAGAGTTTTAACAAGAAGGTCTTTTCAGATTATTGGGAAGTATAAAAATGACAGAGTTCTATTCTACCAGAAATGTATCATTTCACTACACTAACATGTCTCTTTGTTAAATGTATGGTCTAAAAATTGTGATCAGGTGCATTTTATTGTTGCTCTCAGTGGCTTATTAAAATCTTTGTGCTCAATTACAATGACCTAATATGATTTCATTTATTTTATTAAGAAGCTGATGGTTCTATGAACCTATCACAGAACAGGTTACAACCCTTTTATTTGCCCCAGCTCGGGTGAGACCAGTGTAGAGAAGACAACCCAGGCAGCAAACATTTTCCTTTGATCCTTTGTCAATAGAATGCATTTGAATCACTCAGGACTCCTGAGGACAAGGAAGCAGTGCTGCATTGAAGACAATGCAAGAGAAGTTGTGCTGCCTCTGCTAATGGCACTCCTATATTTAGAGATCCCCAATGAAGAACACCAGAGGCAGGTTTTAGACATTTTGCTGGTACATAGTTGCCAGCTGGGACTAAATCACAATTAGGAATAATGCAGAAAGCTGGTCTAAATGTCCAGCCTTCTTCTCATACATGATGTTCTTGGCAGCAATAATTAATATGGGCTGTCAGTGAGTTAAGACTCCCTTAGGGCAGGCAGGGGTATTGATAAAATGGATTTACAAACAGAGAGATTACTATTACTGGGTAATTTTTAAGACACATCTAATTCTTAACATATTTTGTGGCAAGGATGCAGAGTTTTTCAGCAAACTGTAAAAGAAGGTGATATCTCCAAACACACTGCTATTGACTGGCTATGGTGCAACAATCAGGATTTACTCAAAGCAAAGAAACTGTCCCTTTCAGGAAAGATTTAACCCTGATAATCCAGATAGAATAAATAGAAAACTCCCTTACAAGGTTACCAACATATGCAGAAAGAGTAGGATTGATAGCAGGGTTTAATTTTATAAAACTGTCCTTGGTCACAGATATTTCATAGGCATTTAGATACCAGTCCAAATCACTCTAGAGGTCTGTGAGAATATTTTCACAGCATGAAGCAGCTCTAGATCATGTTTCTGGAACTTCTTTTTTCCCCTATGGTACCACAGGGACTACTTAAGTCCTTTGCCAGCCAGCTATTACTTTTGTCTGTTCAGGAAGTCAGACAGTCTGATTACCTGGATTTACCTGTCGGTAAATGATGGATAAAACTCCACCAATTAATACCCAGTTAGGTAACACTGAGTTGGGTAACAGCCTTCTCATACTAAACTGTACCAGTTTTGGTCCCTCTGCGTTCAGTGTAACAGTTACAATTTCAAAATTATCAACCCAGTATTGTGGCAAATGTTCCTCAGAATGGCTTGGATGCTGTGCTCCCTCTCTGAGCAGACAGATACAGTAGCTGGAGCCAGGCATAGCCAGGGTAACGTGGCCTAAAGCCATCTGTACAGTCTCATAATTCAGGAGATAGTTCAGCTGCTAAAGTCAGTCTGACCTCCCCTGGCTGGAGTGCTCTCATTTTTTGGGAGCCTCCTGTGGCTGCTTGTTGGCTGTTTCACGATGTTGGAATAGCTGGGAAAAAGCACTTGACCACTCACCACCAAAATGAGCACACTCAATTGGCAAAACACTATCTTAGGGACTCACAGAAAGCCAACAAAGTATGTGCCACTAAAAGTAAAGCACGTGTCTTCTCCAGTCTCGTGCCTCTAATGATTACTGCGAGCGTAGGCCTTTATTTGTTTGGGGTTTTTTGTTTTGTTTTGGTAACAATGTGTTTACTTAGCAAATGGATTATTGAGAGAAAGCTACTTCCTACACAGTATTCTAACTTATGGCATTACACAATACTTCAGATGCCTCCTCCAGCCTTAATTTCTCCACTCTTTGTTTATAAAACATTTCCTTTTTCAATGTAGAAAGTGATCTTTGCAGTTCACTGTTTTCCATGCATTAAATTTGCTCACAGTATTTGAAGAAAATCCCATTTGAAATTATAGGTCCCTGCATGTCTTCACTACTTTTCAATATAAAGTGGTACCTAATACAAAATAAAAGTTTGTTTCCTCTTTAATACCAAAAAAATCATTTTAGGAATGCTGCATGCATGTCATTTATTTAAAGATCTATATAGAATCACTATTGCTTTAAGATCTGTCAATAAGGACCTATGTACTTAGTCTGGGGTTTTAATTCCTTCATAATAGACACCATAATTGGCAAACCATGTCTTAAAGAAATGTGCCATCAGCAGTGAATCTATAATTTATTTATAGGAGAGGAAAAGTTTCTTCTGTAAAGCAATAGATGTATCTATCTACCTCTGTCAAAAGACATTGCAGTACTTTAAAAACTAACACTGAAATCAGTCTTCTTATAGTCAAAACCCAAAAGGGAAATGATTAAAGTAGCAACGTATGTACTTACAAAGTAGTAGGTTTTGTTTTCATATGTTAAAATAACTGTGTAAGTGAAGGTACACTGTATGTTTCAGAATGTTCTGTTCAAAGAACAGCGAGGCTTTGCCTTCACGTGACTACTGTTTCACCTGCAACTGTGAAGAAACCTGTGAATCAGGATTTCAAGGATCCTGGAAACTTCCAGCAGAGCATTTCTGGTCTACCTGTTCCTAGGAAATGTGCCACAAACTCGAGTGCTTCTGACTTACCTTGATGACGACGTGGGCTCAGTGATCTGCCTCTGCATGCGAGCATGTCTGATCAGATGCTCTTTCAGTGCGTTCTGGACCTCTGCTGGTATATCTGGTGAAGTGTGGCTAATTTTCAGTGCAGCTTCAAGTACCTTTGTTGTAGGTTTCCCATTTTCTTTAACTTCCTTTTTCTCACTGGTCTCCATAACCTCTGTAGGAGCACTGGAGTTGCTCTGTGGGACATTACTGGCATTGGAAGTGAGAGGTTTGCTCTTCCAGCAGGGCCAACACAGCTTCCAAAAGACAAAAAGCGAGACTACCAGCAGGGCGAGCCCACAGAAGCTGACAACTACTGCTAACAGACTGACTGAGACGTCTGCAAAGAATTAGAAACAAAAATCATCATGACAGACAAACATGAAGAGAAAAATATAATTAAAAATGACACAGGCAAGGGCATAGAAGCATTTTTATCATTATTTTTGCATAGAACTTTAAGGTCCTATTTAAGGTTGTGTTATTTTTCTGTGTGTTTTTTTTTTGTTTGCTTTTTGGTTTTTTTGCTATCTAAGCCTGTACTTTAAAATGTTATTATTTTCTAATATCTGCTTCACAAACACTGCATTAATTGTTGTTCAGACCAAGGGCCAGTATCTAGCCACACACTCAGACATACTTCTAAGGAAGTAAGAATCTACTGAAGCAGTCCTCAAAACTCTTAGCTGTTGTTGTCAAAGGATTTAGAAATCTGTAGGTAAAAGTAATATTGCCCAGGGCTAAAGCAAAGTTATTATACTCAAACAACAAATGTCTTCACTAAGATTTAAAGCAAATACACGAGATTCTCTTCCCAGAGTTAGATTTCCAAATTTAATAATAAGTACCTATATGGGTAGCCTTCTCCTTATAAGTAATGTACACATGCCTTTGCTCACTGACTTTGGGTGGAAGACAGACAGCTCCCGAAAACATCAACAACTTTGATTTCAGTGAGAGGTTATGGATGTTTAATCCTTTAGAATACATATTTAGAACATCAAGAACGCATCTTGATGAAAAAGTTAAATCACCTTCAACATTTTATATCAGTGCACACGAAGATAGACCAGATCTAAACTGCCAGGCTGATACACAGATTTCTTCAGGACTCGCCAAACTTTTGATTCTTTATGCCAACTGCTTCAGTAACATTTGAAAACCTAATATTTAAGTGGTGTAAATAGGGACAGGATAAAGTCTGTCATAAATAAGAAATTTCTAGGGTTAAATCTTCAGCTCTAGACCAAGACTGCATTAAACCAAGACAGCACATATACATCAATATCTAAAATTCTGCTATGAAAACGCAGCTGGCTTCACAGAACACTATCCAGATGCCCTGAGTTGTACAGAGATCATACTGTATATTTAGCTATCCCTTCTGCCCTGTATTTGACTTTTGCTTGACACAATTGCTTATGATATCCAATAGCCTGGCCAAAAATGAAACTGATTTCGTACCAACAAAATTCTGTGAACACAATTGTATTTTAGGGGATGGTGGATCACCAGCACTGCCAGTTGAGCCCTAATTAGGAGTTTTATTCTATGTGACATGTTTCAGTTTGATTTTTCCAGTTTCATGTAATACTACAACTAAAAAATCCCTTTCCTTTTCAAAAGAGCCATTTGTAAGCTTTAAAAGTACTCACTAAACCGTGTTTAAATATTCCTCAAGTAATGGCTGCTGCTTCTGGTTACAACAAGTTTTGACATTTTAACAGCTAATACTTTGTATTCATAACTCTGGGCTACAGGCTACTAAACTGAAGGAGTGGAAAAGTGCAAAGAGGGTTTGAGCACATTTTTTCTAGATTTTCACAGGAAGAAAAACAGTATGTATTGGGTCCACAGGACAGTATACATCTCACCAGTCCCTTTGAGAGCAAAGATAGAGAGATGAAATATAGAAAGACGAAGGTAGAAAGATGAAGGCTAGAAAGATGAAGTAGAAAATTTGGGAATGTTTTCTTTATTAATATATAATATCCAGATAACAAATACTGAACTTAAGGCCTATTCATAATGAAAAAGCATGAGAAAAGCAAAAGCATATAGAAAATGTTGTAGTCTGGAGATTTGAAAGATGCAGTTCTGTTCAAACTTACTTTGCCTTTTGTCCTGGCCAGTGTCATGGGGTAAGTGCAGATGTGCTCCTGGATTTAAGGAGTTTGGCACAAGCTGCTGCCCTGCCCTGAACACAGGTATGTCTCCCTGACCATTTCCTGCCAGACCTGAGAAAGGTGCCCCCCTTTTCTACCTGCAGATAAATGTCAAAACATAGCCCTTGGAATAAGCATGTCAGCTTAGTGAGAAATTCATACAGCAAATTTTGGAAGATGCTTCCATGAAATGAATGGATACATAATTATATCTAATAATAATGTAACACAAGAAGCAAATGATACTTTTACATATGATTTTTCTACATAATTTATCCCCAGTAGGGATTAATAGGCTATTTGGTTTAATCCAATATTTACCCTGATATTTTTCCTGAGCCCACTAATTTTTACTTGGCTTGTGCATGTTCTGCAGAAGACTGTCTTGACAAGGGAAGACATTAAGAGATACTGAATTTACAGTTTCTTTCAAAGGTTAATCACTTTGTTGCAAATTTGCATTTCTGATTTCTATTTTTGTAGTTCTAATTTACAGCCATTGCTTCTTTCATGTTTTTGCATGAGAGATTAAAAGATATGCTATGCTTCATGAGGCATGCCTATACAAAATGCAAAAAAAATAAACTGTGCCAGGAAACAAACCCAGGAGTCAAAACTCACTTGCCTATATCACTCCCTGGAACAGTTTTAAACTGGGCTAATTTATACCCTCCCAACCAATTCCTAGCTATGGATCAGGTGTTAGAATAGGACAATGATCATTCTTAGAAGGTGATCTGGATGTGGTCCTTCTGTTCCAGCAGATGACAGACAGTAAGAGCATTCACATGCTCTTGCATGTGAATTGACCTCAGTACCAGGGAACAGTCTGTAGTGGGTTGACTGATGGGTGCCAGGCGCCTGTCAAAGCTGCTCTATCATTCCCCTCCTCAGATGAACAGGGGAAAAAAAATATAACAAAAAGCTTGTGGGTTGAGATAAGGACAGGGAGCAATCACTCAGCAATTACTCTTACAGGCAAAAAAGACTCAACTTGGGGAAATTAATTTATTACCAATCAAATCAGTGTAAAATAATGACAAATAAAACACCTTTCCCCCACTTCTTCCTTCTTCCTGGGCTCAACTTCACTCCTGATTTCTCTACCTCCTCCTGCCAGTAGGACAGGGGGACAGGGAATGGGGCTGCAGTCAGTTCATCATACATTGTCTCTGTTGTTCCTTCCTCTTCAAGGGCAGGACCCATCACACTCTTCCCCTGTTCCTCCTCTCTGTCCCTCCCACACAAAACATTCCTCCACAAACTCCAGCATGAGTCTTTCTCACACACTGCTCCGGCGTGGGTCCCTTCCACTGGGTGTAGAACTTTGGGAGCAGACTGACAACAGGTTCACAAGTCCTACCAGCAAACCTGCTCCAGCATAGGTTCCTCTCTCTCTCTGTGGGTTCATAGGCCCTGCCAGGAGTTTGCTCCAGCATGGACTTCCCACAGGGTCACAGCCTCATTCATGAGTTCACCTGCTCTGGCATGGGGTCCTGCAGGAGGTGCAGGTGGATATCTGCTCCATGGGCTGCGTCGCCACGGCTTCACCACAGGCTGCAGGGGGATCTCTGCTCCGGCGTTTGGAGCACCTCCTCCTCTCCTTCTTCACCGACCTCTGTGTCTGCAGAGTTGTTCTGCTCTCACATTTTCACTCTTCCAGCTGCTGATGCACAGATTTTTTCCCCCTTAAAAACATTATCCCAGAAGTGCTACCACTGTTGCTGGTGGGCCTTGAGCAGCAATGGGTCTGTCTTGGAGCTGGCTGGCGTTGGCTCTATCAGCCATGGGGCAGACTTCTAACAGCTTCTCACAGAAGCTGCCCTGTAGACCCTCACTACCAAAACCTGGCCACACAAACCCATTATATGGTCAAAAGTGAATTTAATCTATTGATACAGAAGTATGCCCCACTGAAGGAACTTTTTTGATAAATTGAACCAGCTGAATTTTCAGGCAGGCTGGCCAATTTTTTTTCCATTCTCAAAGTGACAAAAAGTAGAACTCTTGAAAATGTTGATGATCTACCAGAAATGAATACAAAAAATAAAATAAAAAACCAAAACAAAACACACCCAAAATGAAAAACAAAAAAGCAAACCAAACCAAACCAACCAACCAATCAAAACAAACCCTAAAAATTGAAGAAGCAATTCAATTTTGGGTAATTTGCAATATTTCCAGCTCAGTTTAGAAATGGTTGGCATAATTAGATTACATTTTGTGAGGAAGACTTTAAGAAATGAAAATTGTAGGGTGTTTTTTCATTTAGAAAATGTTGAAAAAGGATGTTTTAAGAACTTTAAAACTGCTGGAAACATTTCAAAACCAGATATATGAAAATTGATCCTTTCCAGTAGAGTTTCAATTTGATGAAGAGATACTATCATCTGGAAAACATTCCATCAAAGCATTTCTAGCCAATTCTAATTTAAGTTTTTCACTGCAAGACATTTTTCAAGCCTTCAAATAACTTGGTGTCTCCTTTCAACACCTACTGCTGCACTTCAGCTTTCTCTAAGCTGTTTTACTGTATTTCTACTAAACTGTTTAAAATTTGAAGTTGCTCCTAAAATCTTTACAGAAAATATATGTTTTAAAACCCTAAAATAATCGCATGAAATATCTGAAGTCTGAAGAGCAGAGATAAGGAGCTAGTTCTACAAACAGTTGTAGTCTCCGTTTTTGCTATTTTAGTAATAAATTAAAAACCCTCACATATTGTATTTTGTAATGCAACAGATACTTAAAGAGAAACAACATATTTTAATTGCAAAAAAAATTGAGCAAAAATAGTTCACTACGAGAAAGTATTTATTACATTTACATCCACAATTGCTAAAAAGCAATCAGAATGCCATATAAATTGACATAAAAAGCATATTGCTTAATGTCCTTACTTCTGTCAGTCACTCTATTGAGCAATTGCCAGAGGTTTGTTGTTGCATGATGACTGAAATCATTTGAAGAACAATCAAATGGAGCTTCCCAAAGTCTTTGTGTGTTAGACTGGATATGTGTCTTATATTACCTTTTTACAGGAGTTTTTGTTAAGGAATATATAATAGAGTTCTGCAGACTAGGAGTTTCTTCATATCCCTTCCACAGATACCTGGTTAGGAACTAAAATGGGTACTGAAGAATGGATATGTCATCAGACAAAGGTTGTGCTTCA